TCGATATCTAAAACAGTGCAATTAATGCAAGCCTCTACATATAATTTTTCTCCCTCTCAAATGCTTCAAAGAAATGGCAGAAGCGAGAAGGGATGAAGAAAGCAAATGTTGCAGGTCGTGGGTCAATTATTGGACTTCAGAATAAAAAAGAAAATCATTTGAGCCATAAATAAAATTTTAAATATATATATATATATATATATATATATATATATATATATATATATATATAAATGTCTATATCGTATGGGTCTTTAATGTTTTTCTGGATTTCTAAACTTAGGACTTTTAAAAGAAAAAAAATACATTTGAATTATCTCCACAAAAAGTAGACTTGGACTTATAGAATGACATTTGGGTTTATGGAATGACATGTGCATAAAGAATATATTATATAATCATATAAAAAAATGTGTTCAATTAGAGTTTAAATTTACTCATACAAAATTTGAAATTTACTTTCTAAATGTAATTATCTTAGTTATTATTCGTATTGTGAAAATTATAATATAGATGAAATACAATTAAGAATAAATCAATGTAATTATGTAATTATGTAAATTCTCTCTATAAGTTTATTTGAATATGTACATAATTAGAAATTATATTAACCATACAATTAATTTTAATTTTAACCATACAATTAATTTTAATTGTAATTTTAATTTTAATTGTAATTCGGTGGGGAACCACAAGTCCGTTACGGGAGGGGCTATATGTGCATCATTTTGATAAATGAGGGGCAACATTTACACCACTCATAATTCAAGGGTGACATTGATAATTGACATATTATAGAGAGGCATTTTTTACAATTTTCCCTTTAATTAATTATATTTTTATAAGAACTTATTACTTCAAAATGCTAAAATTTAAAAAACTGCTTAAAGTAACTTTTTCAATCAGCTTTTGAGATAGTCATTTTGTATGTAATCAGTAAATAGCTAATTTACCAAATACTTTTATACAATCAGCTAATGATATAACTAGTTATAATAATAATAATAATAATAATAATAATAATAATAATAATATGAGAATATATATTGGGAAGAATTATATATAATATATGTGGAAATAGGCAGTGGAAATAGGCAGCCTTATTTATTATAGCCTTATTTATTATATTCTAGGAAGTTGTAGCTGCAGTAGCTTTCATTACAAAACAGAAGCAGAAAACTATTCCTTTTCTCAAGGCTACAACTTTCTAGGAGTAATAAAGTAAATATAAAGTAAATAAGTCTAAACGAAGAAGCCAAGAAGAAAGAACGAAGGAAAAGGAAGAAAAAAAATCAAGAATGGCAATCGACGACGGCGGTGGGAGAAGAAAGAAGCACCAATGACGACCCACGGCGGTGGGACGGCGACGGCAGTGGCTGTGGGTCACTGGGTTGGCTTTCTTCTTCTCATACCATTTTTTTTTTAAAAGTTAAAGTTAAAAATGGGTAGGGTTTATGGTGTCGTCTGGGATGCAAAGGCGACGCCGGAGCTTGCCTCACCATTTTCAGGCGAGGCGAAGCCTCCAGGCGTCCTGTCTCCACCGACAGGACGCCAAGGCGTCGCCTAGGCGACGCCTAACTATGCAATCGGGATTGGAAGAAATTGGATGAACAAGGAAAGAAGTGTGAAATCGCAACACTCACAATGTGAAAAAGCAGCAACCGCTGAGAGTAATGCAGCATCAAACAGTGCACCATCAGCATCCAAGCAGTATATGTCCTGTAAAATGATTTTAAGTATTCAGAGGCAGAAGTACGAAGCAATGCACGTTCTGCTGCAATACTTACTAAAACCAGTTCGACATAGGCAACCATGAAATTGAAAAGCAAATCGTAATCCGAAGCTTTACATTTACTGGCAAAATTTTGATTGACAATTTAATATGCTACGTATTATTAGATAAAATTGTGTAGGATAACATAATTAGCAACACTCTGGCCTGGTTGAAGATCTTAGGAACAGTACACTTTGGCTTGTGCTAAAAATTTTTACTTGCAAAAAACATATCAGAGGCAAGAATAAAAGAAGACAAGAAAAATAAATCATTAAATCCCTCACCAGGTAGGCCATCCAAGCAGCTTTCCCACTGGCCAGGCACAGTTCTTTCAAGTCAATCATGCCAGAACTGGGAACATTATAGTTTGTCAGCACGGTACATCGTTTCCATGAGAAAAGCAAGAGTTCCAAATAGCAAGCATAGAAAACAAACAAGTAAATGCGTAAAGAAATGTGAAATTTGAAAGTTTCAATATCATTTTGAGGAACACATAATAAATAAGTAGACATAGATCATGCTCAAGTAACAGCCCGTATTTAACTGAGTTTCACCAATTTGATATTAAGTAATTGTTTTTTATTTTAGACTATCTTTCTTTTACAACATTTTCAGTTCACAAGAGAAATAGGCGACTTTCATAAATCTTTTTGGTACAAATAAAAGCTGATACTTTGCAAATTTCCTTTCCCTCTTTTTTTCTTAATAATCCAAATAATGGTATTAAATGTGTGAGATGATATGCTACAAAAAGTGTAAGAACAAAATTAGAAGAATGCCAAAATTAGTGTGGTTACTAATTTAAAATCTCTATCAATTATATCCCATAAGAGTGACTATTGCATTAAAAACTCACAATAAGATAATAGAGTAATCATATCATGAAGATACTGAATAGAGTTACTTTCACTGGTCCTATGACTATTGGAATGTTGTTAATTTCAATCCACCAGTTTCAAAACTGTCAATTTAGTACTGTAACTATTCAATTTTTCTCAATTCCAGTCTATCCGGCCAAATTGTCGGCGAAAAGTGGCCGAAAAAGATTTTAATGGATAAAATCTTGAGGGCAATTTAGTCATTTGATCATCCTCTTTTCTTCTTCTTCAAAAGTTAAGCAAAAAGTGATTCACAAGAAGATAACTAGTCATACCAAATCACACATCACGAAATTCAAAGGTAAAGCTATTAAAAAGCAATGAATTGCTATATATCACACCTAGCTATGGTGTCAGATAGTTGTTTAGAAATGACTGGAGCTGCCTCTGCGGGCCTGCCAGGTCGAACAAGAGAAGAACAAATCGGAGGCATATGGAATTCAACAGCTGAAATCAAAAGTCGAGAAATTTATAAGAATTATATCGACAAGACAACAACACATGGTAATTACGATAGAAACCTAACCTATGGATCCCTCATCTGGAGAATCCGCACTTGGAGTCATGACTTCCACCTTGATCGCAGCCAACATTGTCTATTCATAATGCAAGATAACAGAGCAATAAAATCTTTGATCGAGACGAATAATAAATGCACATAATAAATTTAAACACTAAAAGAAACAATGTACTTACAGTGGAACCAATCTTCACCAGTGCAGATCCATCCGCAGATGCTACACTACCTACATATAAAAAACCAGACACAATTCGAAAGGCAACCTAAAAGAGAGAACCGAATTGAACATTACACAATAGCATTTGAATCAAAAGAGAAATTAGCCAACCAAGCACAACTGTTGTATATCTAGCTTCTCCAAGTGCTCGGCCATCGGGCCGAATAGATTCACCCAGATAACGCTCGTGAAAGCGCAAAGGAAAAAGGCGTCGAAATGCGTCCAGCTCCATCTGTGACGACAAATCCCCTGACCCATTAGCTGTATCCATTCTCCTGTATCCCTAAATAGTCCCCACCATTAAGCAGAAAGCAAAGAACTAGGTATCAATACCCAAAAACAGCCATTCCCATTTTAATAAGCAGGAAAAAAAAGTAAACCCAACGATTGCGACTGCGGAACCATGCCAAACTTTTGCATTCAACTTCAACAATCAAGGGAAACGATAGAAGTAATTTTGAATAAACACAATAGAAAAAAAAAGAAAAAGATATTGCTACCAACTAGTTCCATGGAGAACATCCGGATAAGAAGAAAGAACAATGGAAAAATTAATCAAAAAAAAAAAAAAAAAAAAAAAAAAGAGAATAAGCAAATGAATATGGATAAATGGTTACCTTAGAAAAATTAGCTTGCTACTCTCAAATGCGCGGACGGCGGCGGGGGTAGGTGGCGCTTGGGGCCTGCTAGCGGAGTTAGGGAAAGAGTCTCCCTCCAGTAAACAAATGGGAGTCTTTAGTTAATGAGCACCAAGCCACCAAAGGCATTAAACCCAGAAGGGTTTAATATTTTTCCATCAATTAAATTTTTTCTAAAAACATTTTCAAGAAATATATTTAATGAAAATAATTTTATTAAAAAAAATTATTTAACATGTTTAGTGTTACTTAAAAATATAACAATTAAATTATTAAAAAAATTAATTTTTTTTAAAAAAAATAACTTTAAAATATTCGGAATAGTCAGAGTCTCAATTATGAATGGTAATATGATTAATAACGAAGTTGAATTAATTGAATTCAACTGAGTTCATATTTTCAAATTAATAAGAACATATTAAAGAGTGAATATACACACAAACTAACACTTTTGAATGAAATTCATCATTAATAAAAACTTTTAAAAATCTTAGAGAGTGAACTAAACTAAAATATTTTGATAAAAAAAACAAAATTAATCAAAATTTATCAATTTAGTCAATTAATTGAATTTTCACTATATTGTATACAAACCCTAAATATATATATATATATATATATATATATATATATATATATATACACACTAATAAGAGCCCAAGAGAATTAGGCCTATAATGGGTAGAAAAAATGGCGGTCAAATTTTTTAATCAAAAGGATTTCTAATCAAATTAAATCCTTTTTAATTATTATTAATGGAATTAATTAAATAATTAATTCGGGATTAAGGGCCGTAACACGGGGTGTTACACTCTCTCCCCTTACAAAATTTTGGAATGGAGAGATATTCTCACTGCTCACCCTGCTTCCCTAATTTACACTATTTGGAATTTTGGATTCTATGGGCCTACTTATTTACTACAGTAAATAATTTGTTCATCTGCTGCTAATCTGATAAAAAGATCAAATATTATAACCTCAAAAGAATTTGCACCAGCAATTTCATTTCTCATTTGTGTAAATGTGAAGATTTACAGTCAGTGAAAATCATATATTCTATCACAGTTCACTGTGTACAATTGAAATTGAATCTATTACAAAACAATAATGCAGAAATCTACAAGAGCAACACCTGCAGTTCCCCCTACAAAAATAATTCTACAAAGAATTGCAGAGCAATTGATATCTGCATTTTAGTTTTTCTATCTTCACTCTCTGATTCCCTCAAGTTTTATATTATAATCAACCCTTCCTTCACATCTACCATTACACCAACTCCATTAGCAGGGGGTCGCCCGCAGCCATAGCCTTGACCAGTTTGATGAACTCTTGCTCACTTGATACTTTCCATGGGTGAACTGCAGGCGCTTCGGCAGAATAATATGTTGAATTATTAGGTTGCTTCTCCTTATATACCATTGAATTAAACACCGGGTCAAAGTTTTTCAACGAGTCCATTGCCATAAAGAACATGGGTATTGCAACCTTGTGATGGATGTCGAGTTCGCCTACTAGATTCACGAGATCAATGAAATCGGTTACAAAGGGCCGAGGAACATAGAATACCTCAGATTCACATAATGTGAGGCTCTGGTCACTTTTCACCGATTCTTTGTAATTGACTTGAAAGTGTACTGGCATTGTGTCCACTACTTTCTTTACCAAACCTGCTTGCTTTGATATCCAATCAGAACTACCAGCAATTGAAGTATAAGTCCAAGACTTCGATACCTGAGTGAATTAGAAAGAAGTTATTTCTATACATAATTCTCAGTTGGGTAGCATGATAGGATATAAAAAAAGTGAGAAGTTAATGGACAGCAAAGTAAATAAGCTTAATATCTTTCTATCTGAAAGCTATGCACTAAATCTATATAACTATTGCCCCGTTTGGTAAATGGCTGTTAGCTGATGGCTATTAGCTGATGGCTGTTAGCTCTTAGCTGATTGGGTTAATTAGAGGGTATAACTAGTTGATAACATTAGCTGATTGTAGAAAGTGTTTTGGTAAATTAGCTTTTAGCTAATACGAGTAGCTGCTTGGTATAATTTCTTTTCTCAAAAAGCTAATTGAAAAGGCTGCTTTGAGCAGCTTTTTGAATTTTAGCATTTTGGAATTGATTTTTTAACCAAGTCAAACAATTAATAGTGGTCAAATAAGCCAAAATTGACTATAGACTAACTATTTTACCAAACAGGGATAACTAGATAAGCACATTTAACCGATCAATTAAATTGCCGGTTGCATATACCTCATTAGTGATCCAGAGCTTAGACTTGTCTGCTTGCATCAAGTTCCAATAGTTAAGGACAGTGTCATCCTGAAGAAACAGAAAGCCTTCTGCACTAGTGTATCTATCAAACAACTTGGGCAGAAACCTGCAAAACACAATGGGAGAACAGTATAAAGAAGTTGATATTAAAAATGAAAAAGATTTCACACATAAAGTTAGCTTTAAAATTCAATATAACGAATTGAAGTAAATTGTTTGAATGCTGTATCAACAATTTTCCAGAAACCACCATCAAAATGAAGAAAGAAATAAATTAGACACTGGTCTAGAATCCCTATAAAATTTATCAAAGTGAAGGGTAAATTTAAGTGTCTTAATGCATATTGAAAAAATCAACATGCCTACTGTTATACGGAGTATTAAAAAGGTTATTCCCCTGATACATGTAATTAAAAACATCATTTATACCTTTCAAAAAAAAAAAAAACATCATTTATACAGATGTTAAAACTTAAAAATCACAGTGCCATAATTAAAACAAAAACCTATAATAACTACCCAGATTGTTACAGTCAATATTCATAGACATCCAGCCATTGCCAAACTTAGCCCCTATACAATTTGATTTTCTCCTTGTCCCCACCTTTCTTCACCCAACCCCCCTTCTCCCCACCAAACACCCTTCCATATGTGTGTGTGTGTGTATGTATGTGTTTTTTTTAAGGTGTCGTCATATCCTAGACAAACTCCACTCTGTAACTATCCAAAACAACAAGAAAACCAGAAAGAAATTGTTTCAGCAATTAAAGAGACAGAATACTCATGACTCACCTATAAATGTAATCCAGCTGACCCTTTACAACAGCAAGATCTGAATTCTTCTGCTCAGACAGTATAATTACTGTCTTAAATACCCTGCCATATAACAATCTCCATTCCAAAGCAGTACGTTCAACTGGTCCACTGCAGAACATAATTAGCACAATATTGCCAAAATTCTTCCTCCACTTAATCAAATTTCCAATTTCATAATTCACCGTCCCAATTTCCTCAACTCCAAGATGCACAGATGGCAACTTTTGAGGAACAAATTCTTTCCTATCACCATGGCCAATACTTGCCCTTGGCAGATCCAATTCAAGAGACATTAGACGAGGCTGTAGGTAACCAATAGCATGCAAATCTTGAAGCCAAGCAGCAGTCAACTCCAAGTCCCTCTCCGTCCAAAAACCTTCCTCAGCCATTGCATAACTCAACTCCAGAATCTTCTCAAACAATTGATGTTTATTTGATCTCCACAATACTAAGAACTTAATTAACCGACCCACATTCACATGAAGATCTTTCTCTTCTGAAAACGGGTATGCCGCAATTCTATCATATCGGTAAATTGTGGGTGGATATACCACAACATACCCCCCAATTTCCCACAAGATTCTCTGTGCCCAATACCCTCTTAACACATCAGATGCCATGCTACTGACAGAAACTGGCAACATCAAACCCCAAAATGCTGATGAATGAAAAATGGTATTGAAAGAGTTAACAGGAACCATTGTACCTTGCGGTAGTGCCACTTTTGGGGCATGGTCATCAAACCTAATATCAAATGGTTCCAGTCCTGATTTCCTAGTAAAATAGAAAACGGAATCCACATCAGGTAAACCATTTGAAATTCCCTGTTGAATGAACTGTCTCCCACCAAAAATCTCAGTGTAGAACTCCTCATCCCCGATCTCACCAACATTCTCCAGTGGCAAACCTCTTGGCCAAACTGACCTTTGTCCAAAATGTATATACGGGTTCACAACAGTCCTATTAGGATTCTCATGACTATATTGCAAAATGACCTCCTGCCTTGCAGCCTCCCCAACCAATTCAACATCAAAATGTTTCCCAATATTATTATCAACAACATCAGTGCGATCGTCAACATCAAATATCTTTTTAGCACCATGCTGTATAGCAAACAAATACCCCACAGTTTTTCTAACATAGGAATCATAAGGGAGAAAATCCACAACTCTAAACCCCAATTGAGCTTGCATTTCCAAAGACAAGTAAATTGTACCTTTGAGGCTCCAATCTTTGGGAGTCTTTGAGTTCCCGACAGCCAACAGTTGCCATCCTTTTAACTTAGCAAGCTTCTCAAGCGAATCGGAGGGGTAATCTGACACGGAGACAACGATCCACTTCTCGGATCGGAAATTCGCGTAGGGGGAGGACTTATCTCGGATTGCAGGGATGTTATTCCAGTTGATTTTAGGCAACTCGGATTTAATGGATTGGGTCTGGGCGGACTGGATGCAGAGCAGGGTAGAAGCGTCCCCAGCAGCGTTGCGGAGGTAAAAAAGGCCAGCAACGGTAGCAACGAGGAGGACAATGGTGAGAATTTTGTATAGATTCTCCGAAGCCCACACGGAGAAATCAAGATTCTTGGTCTCCACAAAGCGAGTTCTGGGCAATGATGCTGCTTTATCTCTGCTAAATTTCGACACCCGGGGAGATCCCGGAGGCGAAGAGTTCCGATCTTGAACCAACATTTCAGCCTACTCCCCAAACCAATGAAACTCCCTCCCGTACTGGCCCAACACAACAGCTGTGGCTTTGGTGCTGAAACTTCCGAGTCCCGCTTCCTTCACCTCATCATTGACTTGAGTTGAGCTTAATTCCTCTTCTCAGAGTCAAAAACACAAACACCTGAAGTGCGTGTTTGCGAGAGAGAGAGGTGTAGGGAATTGGAGTTGCCGACAGATGAGACTTAAGTGTGATTTGGTGAAGAAGCCAGCGATGAGAGGTTTTCGTACGCTTGAATCAAACTTCAGCTTGCCCATTTGTGGTGGGGCTTGGGAATTTACACTGTGATCTGGATGCTGATGTAGGAGCAATGTTGTTTTCTTGGTTGTTCACTTGTATTATTTTATTATTATTATATTATTAGTAGGGTTGTTTATGATCTGAAAATTGTTCCTTTTTTAGATCCAAGAATGGACAAATTAACTACAACCATGACTCGCCGCCCATATCAATAATTGAAGGTGTACAAAAATGGAGGAAATAGTCTATAGTTAGGAGAATGGAAGATAGATAAAATTGTATTATTGTGGCAATCTGTAATCATGACTGAATTTGTAATCATTATTATTCCAAAGGCTGAACCCCAACCCTAAGGGCCCACAGCATTTGTAATCATCAATTTATATTATCACGTCATAGACTATATACATGAATGTAAACAAGAATGTTAGCATTTAGTCGGTTTAGCCACTACTATTATGGATGAACAAATTTTGTCCTCATTTATGTCAAATTGTTTTTATTTTAGCCCGTTTATTAATAGTTTGAAAAAAGCTCTATTACGGTTGAAAACAAATGTGCTTATGTGCGTTACATGTTAAAATAACTTGGGGTTCTTCATTCAAAAAACATGGGGTTCTTGAAATTATGACTAGGCACATACTTTTTCAGTTCGAACCGTTAGTAAAATTGCGACGATTTGCTAAAACAGCTATACACTAAGAATTGAACAATTAAAATCACACTTTTTTCCATTGAAAAATATCACAAAGTGAAATTTTTGTTATCATTGTTAAATTCCATAATATTTATACAATACTGTCAATCATTGAGCCAAGATGCATTGGCTTTTGGTGGTTTATTATACATAGGCAAGTTTGAAGGAAAACCTCTCCAATATAGGCAACAAACAAACAAATTCCATAAAGGCAGACTTATTAGCCAAGCAAACAGAATAGACATATGTGGCTCCCCTTCAACACATTCCTACAAAAGGGGCAGTTGGTCTCTCCCTTTCGAGTGGAATGCACATTTGATGTTATTATACGATGATGTTTGACATCAACAACAACCTGGCTCGGGGCCACGGTTGGCACAATGTCACCAAGCGTTATATTGTGTTGTCATGAGAGCACTCGTTTTGCTTGCCTTGATACTAAATTGAAGAATATGTTTCATTTGAAGTATAAAATTTAACTTGATAGTGAAACTACAGGTAATACTCGATGACCACTTTGGAAGAAAGATCTTTGAATATCACAATGATGAACAATCCAATACACCACTATCAAACCCAAAGAACTCAGGCAGGGATGAAATTTATACATTGTTGAAGACCAAACCTACAAATAATTGAAAAGAATGTGTTTAAGTGTGTTACATTTCTTGCATTTTGGTATTATGTATAGTTCGAAAATCCACACTAGGCTTTTGAAGCACCTCCATGGTCCCTTTCGACGTGTTCCACGAGGGAAACTGGATCACGAAAACCTTTACTGCATCTCGGGCAGACGTCAATTGACACATTCATTACACCATTCTTTTCATGGACCTTCTGCACATGCTCCACAAGAGCTGTACCCGTAGAGAATCTTAGGTTGCACATTGGGCATTGCTCGACCTGTTGTTTGCTTACGCTGCTTTGGGGGCCCCCTCCATCTCCGCCAATCTGCAGGGCTTGATTGAATTCGTTGCTTAGTTTTGCTATACCAGAAGTTGCAGCATTGAGGAGACTCGTGGTCCATCTCGAGGATGATGGTGCAGGAGCCTTCTTTGGCTCCTCCTTTCGACTCAAAAACCCCAAAAACTGGAAAGCAGGTTCTGGCTTTTTAGGTCCAGGGCAATTATGGTCAGGTCCAAACCGGTGCTTCAAACAATGATCAATATCACAATCCCGGCATTTAATTGTGTTCGAGAACGTCAGGACCTCTTTGCAGCGGGGCACAGGACATTTCCTCTTTTTTGTGGCTTTTTCATAGTTTGACGGATCACAATCAGTGTTTACATGTGACTGCCAAGTTATATTTGGGTCTTCATCGGGTATTAAGTGGACACCTTTAGCACACAGCGGGCAGATAACGACAGTGACATCATGTTTGTTGCCCTTTGGACACTGATGTCTAGCGTAGCTACGATGCTCTAAGCAGAAAACCTGTCAAATCAAGATATCGAATTAGAAGAGAAGGAAAAAGGGTTAGTAATTGTAATCAAGCCAAGAACACAATTGAAAAGCCCAGTTGACACAAAATAAAAGCTCTTAAGCATACACTTTCCCATCCTAACTCATCAATGATCAAAAGATTAATCTTAGACAACTGAACGCTTCAAACCGAATCGAAATCCCACAATGCAAAAGCCTTAAAAGCAACCTACAGAATCTTCGCCTTGGAATAACATTCATTCTCCTCAACACAATAGTCAATTTTCCAGTTTTCATTTCTATAGTTTTCCATTCTCCAATCTCTGTTTTCATAAAATCAGAGACCTGTACTGTATGAGTAAAGGGACTTTAGTTTTCATTTCTCCCGTAAACACACCCAAGTTTTGCATCTAATTTCAAAGTAGTCTAGCAAAAGAATTTCTAGCAGCCCAGAGCCTATATCCCCAAGAGACAGGAACATCCCTTAAAAGTAAAATACACCTGGTAGGTTTAGAAGCTCTCTTGATGGTGAAATCAAGATAGTACTGCAACTCCAGTACGATTATAACATATAATGACAGCAAACATCGAAAAGATTAACCTTTAACTTCTTATTCACACCTCTTCTTTCTCCAATTTTCACAAAATCCAGAAAACGAATCGAAAACAATAAAATAAATAAAAAAGTGCGCGCATTCATAGAGGGAGAGAGACAAAAGGCACCTTGTGGCAGCAATCGCAGGTGAAGGGCAAGAAATCGATCTGCCGGCAATCGTCGACGGAGCAGTGCTTCCCTAGATTTGGAAATGCCGGTGTCCCCATAATCTATCCGGGGAAGAAATAATTCAATTCTTCTGAAATATATGTCGAATCTAACCACCTGGGATGAGAGAAAAAATCCGTGCAAAATCCAAGTCGTTATATTATCTGAATTCGCACGGATACGAGCCACAATTGGGGATTTCGAATTCCGCCTAGACGCCTTCCAGAAAAAACCAGAGAGACCGGCGGAATCCGGCCACTTCTGAAACTTCAGTCAACTTGTATAAAAAGTCTTCTGTGTATTGGACAACAAACACAACTTTTTAACGTGTTTTTTTAAGGAAAGGGACTCGAAACTCAAAAGAGTTACGGACAAATTTCAATTTTGCGTTAATTTCATATTTAGAAATTTAATAAGACTTTTGACTTCACTACTCAATTTAATTTTAAATAACTTTTTATGTTCAATTTAGTTATCAATTTTAATATTTTTATACAATTTAATTTTTTGTTAAAAATGATATTTATTGACTGTTAAAAATAATATCCTATTGTTCTAATTGTAATTTCTCATAACTACTACGTTTCTGCTATTTCTTTAAGGATTGGGTACTCAAATTCAACTAAAAAAGTTATTAAAAAAACGGTTGGCAAATTTTTATTTATTTATTTATTTTAGGGTTGAAATTGATAATTGAAGACCTTCATTTTTACGTGGAGTTTAATAATGTGAAGAATAATTAATCTTCCCAAATGAAATAAATGATGAGAAATTACTATTATGATCATATTTCTAACCGTCAATTAACAGAATTTTTAACAAATGACTAAATTGTGTAAAACAATTAAAGTGGATGACTAAATTGAGCACAAAAAGCCATTTAGAACTAAATTGAATAAAATCACTTAGTCAATGACTATACTTGGTATGAACTCTTTCTATTAGTAAAGACACACCAAGACTACTCAAAGAAACCACAAGTGAATTATTAATATAATTAGTAATATTATACTTTCAAATGTCAAGTGTTCCTTAGAGAATATTATATTCCTAAAAATTATATCTTACATCTATATAAAGGACTCTAACCCTTCAGTCATATGATCATTATTCATAAGCTAATCCAAGTCAATTAAGATATAAGGGTGGTTTACCAAAGTGGATAAATGAAGAATTTTTCAAGCAAATAGAAAATTGAAAAGGTAAAAAAATTGAAAAACTTAAAACTTATTTACTCTTTTAAATTCTTATTCCATCCCCATTCTTCACCTTTCTTAAAGAATTTGGAGAATTCATAAACCAACTTCTCTAAATGGAGAAATTGAAACATATGAGTGAATAGTACTTGTTGACCTAAATGTCTAAGGATCTTCAAATCTCTAAATGAGCTAGGACCCTTTATATAGGTGTAGGATATGACCCTTTATGAATATAATATTCTTCAAGAGACACTTTACCTTTCAGTAATATAATATTCTCTAAGGGACACTTACTTTTGAAAGTATAATAGAGGTAATTCCAACAATGGTCCTCCGACTATGTTGATTTTCCAAAATTAGTCCTTGACTTTTAATTTGGACACTTTAGGTCCCTTGACTTTCAATTTCTTTCCAATTGAGGTCCTTTCGTCAGAATACAGTTAATTGAACTTTAAATGAAGCGGTAAACTCGTCCTCTCACCTGCCTATGTATTATTCTTCATATTTCTTCCTTGTATACGCGATATATATGAAGATAATCTCAGTCGAAGCCCCTTCATTTAAAGTCCCTTGTATACGCGATATTCCTCGTCATTCCCCATTTGCTGATTGCTCGTGTGTGCGTTCCTCCGTTATTGAGATGTTTAGTATATCAACGAAATACGAAGGGAGACATACGGAAAATAATACATAGGCAGGTGAAAGGACAAGTTTACCCTTTCGTTTAAATTCCAATTAACCATATTCTGACGAAAGGACCTCAATTGGAAAGAAATTGAAAGTCAAAGGACCTATAGTGTCTAAATTAAAAGTCGGGGACTAATTTTGAAAAATCAATATAGTCGGAGGACCATTGCTGGAATTAACTCGAGTATACTATTACATTAATAATTCATTTGTGGTTCCTGAGGGTATTACTTGTATATATTTACCCATCACTTTCATTTTTATTTTTTTTCGTTATTTTGATAATCGAATAACTACTAATTTTTTTTTTTCAATAACTATATTCAAACATGATACTCAACTGATTCAACATCTAACTATGTCACTTTTCATCATTTACCCTTTAAAAAAAATTACAAATTCCCTTTAAGATAATGCTTAAGAAAACAAGGGCATATTATTATAACAATGTCCAAGTGGCTATAGCTGTGGCATAGTTGTAAAGATGAGGTCAAAATAAAGAAACATTCAATGATTTTCAAACTAACATTTTCATTAAAATAAACAACAGTCTTGTTATCTGCTAAACTAACTGACACAACAAACTTATTCATCTCAAAACACAACCACAAAGATGCCTCATTTTGTAGGTTTTGTGATGAGGCCATGCCCAAATGGGAAAAGTGGGTCATAATGTGGATCTCCAACATTCATAGGGAGCTGATCAACAGTCTTGAACCATGTAAAAGGAAGCTTACCACTGAAACCATAATCACCAAACAGAACATCTGCAACCCCTTGGCCTTCTGTTCCAGGAAGCCAAGCAGCTACCAGTGCATCAATCTGGGGGAGATATGGCTGGATCACAACGGGACGACCTGTAATGAGAACGACTACGCATTTGGTATGGGGGCAGACGTTGGCGATGATGCTTGGTCCGGGTTCGGGGATTGTTAGGTTCGAGCTGTCTCCGCTCCCCTCTGCATATGTTTTCTCTCCCACCACGACAATGGCGTGGGAGAACTTGCGGGACTTGACAAATTCAGGGTCGGGATTTTCCTCGAACATGACTTGTGTTTTCGTGTCAACGGTGTTCTTTATAGCCGTGAGGATTGTAGTACTTGTAAAAAGATTCATTTGTTCATTAAACTTTATTTCTTTATATCTGCATAACGTACAATAAATGCCACATTTCGAAAGGCAGGGTGCTGGATTAGGCCTCTGGCCAACAATTTCCCTAACCACCTGGTGTTCGACTTGGCCCTTCAGGCCTCTGCCCGACAGGAATGATCTAAGTATGATGAATTCTTTACCTATTGTGATATTGCCACTAAGCCCTTGCCATTCAATTGTCCATCCACCACACTGATAGCCTATATTGTCTGCATGAGTTCCAGCAACCAATATTCTCGATGCCTTCTTTTGAAGCGGCAAAACTGGCTCATCTGCATTTGCACCATTCTTCAGCAAAACAAGAGATTTCCTCACAGCTTTTCTTGCCAGTTTCCTATGTTTCTGCAAAAAAAAATGCAGTATTTCATATGATTTGGCTTTGTATACCTCTCTAGTTCGTCCAGAAATCGTTACCCGACTTCCTAGATGATGCACCAAGCTATAATCACCCAATGGATCCTCGAAAAGCCCCATCACGAACTTCACCCTAAGAATTCTTTTAACTGCATCATCAATTCGGCTTACTGGAACAAACTTATTCTTCACCAAATACGTTAGGCCATCAATGAATTCCGTGTAGTTGTATGGAACCATAACCTGGCAATTTACACCAAATGTTATCTTTTACCACGAAACATTATTGGAATAAAGTTCTTGGAAAGCAATCAACTAACCATATCAATTCCAGCATTGATAGAAGTTAGAATGGAATATGTGTAGTTTCCATGCACAGTAGGAGTAAGGTTGTCAATAGCCTTAAAGTCCGAGATAACAAACCCCTGGAAAGAGTTCACAAAACAGTTTCAATTCGATTGGTCATTTTGAGCCCCGAAAACATCATAAAAATACTTACTCTGAAACGTAGTGTCTTCTTTAGGAATCCAGTGATCATATCACGATTTGCATGCATTCTCACTCCATTTAAGCTCGAATACGAGGCCATGACAGTCGCCACGCCCCTGATAATAGAATTATAGTAACCCGCCATATGGATGCTGAAAAGGTCATGCGTATCGACCAATGTATTATTCTCATCAATGCCCTTCAATGTGCCACCATCTCCCACATAATGCTTGGCACAAGCCGCAACTTTTTCTCTGCATATGATAAAATTAACAGACCATATCGAGTTTTTCTTTACCTCAACTTTGATTTCTACAAATTTCTAGTCCTAGTATTAGCTAAACCAAGAAATTGATACCTAGCTGTTTATGTAAACTTGCTAATATATAGAGAGTGATAATGATGATCCAAGAAACTTAAGGGAAACAACTACAGTTACTATACCTTCCAGAAACAAAGGGAAAACTGAGTGGGTAATTAGGCGGAGCCTCGCCTTGTAAGCCTGGAATGATCTCAGTCATTGCCCTCACAATCTCGGGATCTTCACTATAACTTTCGTAGCAACGGCCCCATCTTGGATCTCTGCAAACCTGCTCAATTGGGCGGTTATAGCTAAAGTCTAAAGAGAGTGTCAAGAACAAGATCCAGAGTTTTTTTTAGCTGAAATAAATTCGTTTACCGCGATGCAAGGTGCAAAGACATATTGAATCCCGGTAGCCCTTACTTCAAGGGCAGTTGCAGCTCCTATCTCCCTAACCAGCTCAGGATCCCTGATCAACAGTTACATTTAAGAAGAATATATGAATTGGGTTCTTGAAAACCATATGAAAACAGAATTATGAACATCATCAACTTGCCTGGTTGCTCCAAGGCCAACATTGTGAGGAAAAATAGTAGCATTGTAAGCATTGTTGTTACCATGAACTGCATCAATCCCATATATCATTGGTATACCTAGCCGGGTCGATAATGAACCCTTTTGGAAACCATTCACCATGTCCACCCAGGCCTCAGCTGATGCATTTTGCTTTGGAACACTTCCTCCACTACTCAACACACTCCCTACTCCAAACAAATGCCACACACACTCACATTTGTATTCACAACATATTGCATTACTAGGAAGTAGGCCACTCCCTACTCCAAAGAAACATCTTACACACCCACATTTGTAATCAAAACATATTTCATTTAGGACAACCCAACCTGCAAGTTGGTCAGTCTATTGACTTAAGTAACCAAAAGGTTACAAGTTCAACTCTAAGCAGTAGCAGCCTATTGGCTTACTAACTTGGGGGGTGTGGTGAGTGGAAGGAACTCATCCATCCTTAACCAAAGGGTCAAGAATTTGATCCTTGGCTTTGGGTATAGAGCAGCCTTAAATCTCCAGACAAGTTGTCCCACCCAGAGGAAGTGTCTAAAATCC